TATTTACATCATGTTACGAATTCGATTGTATAAACGGGTCAGTTATTGAATATTTGGGATAGTATAACTAAGCTTCGCAGTTCAGTTCAGTTTAAACAACCGTTTAGCATGCATTTCCGTTCCACGTTTTAGGTAGCTGTCTTTTAGCTTCGCAGACTGTACCGCTTGGAGTGCCCACTTGACGCTTCTGACTCACCCGGTTTCCCCAGGCAATAATATTATTTTCTGATTGTTTATTTCACCATTTACCGTCTGGTTGACTCAATAACTAACTTTAAATGCAAAAAATTCTAGCACGAAAGTTATTCAGTTTTTTTTTGGCATATCCGATCTCATTGCCTTATGTTTAATCTTCTTTCCCATCGGCAGATTTGCATCAAGAATTAGCAATAACCCGACGACAACCGGTCAATCTGCCGCCCGTCGAAAATGGGCATGATATTTCCTCTTCCAATCTAACTTCCACCGTGGGTAAGTTCTGCATTCTCATGCGTTCATCCTCAAATGTCAAGTTATTCTTCTTAGGTGCTGGCTTCAATTAATTTCCACTCCACTTCTTGGCTTTCTCGTTCATTTGCAGCAATCCAGTTGGGGCTTACATAAAACAGATGGATCAGAATGTATGGGCATAAGTTCGGAAGGGCGTAAATAAATCGAGGCAATCAGTGAAATGTAGGCATACCTACCTACGAATGTCTGTATCACAATGTAATAAAGGCATAATCATACCTGTTGATAATAAGTCTGCGTATTGTTCAGTGTTCACATCCGCCAGTTAGACGAACCCCTTGGATTGGGTATAATTGTACATGTTGAGCAATCGTTTTCACTCTCCGCCTTTGTAACAGATCCGTTATGTGATAAATTTTTGGTTACACTTTTCATCGTACTTGCTGAGTTCCTCTTCTGTTTGGCTGTCACATCCTGTTATGATGACCATCTGTACTGTTTTCTTAACCCATGGAACCATTTAACGCTGTATGGTGGTGGGTCCCCATTAGGTATCGTGTTTTGACACTTAGATCAAGCTACGGATTTCACAGCTGACCTCTACTCCGAGGCAATGAAATCGGAGAAGACACCGGTAATTGTGGTCCTGTTTTGTTGACCCAGTTTTTACCGTTGATAACTGACTTTATATGCTGTTTCATTTTCGCGTAGGGTCCCGCGAAATTCCCGTCCAGACGGAACAAGAGCTTTTCAGTTCTTCCTCCTCCGCCACCCTCCTTACTCCGTCCGTTCGGATAGCTGCACTCAACATGGTCAATGATGCTTTGCAAAAGATTGGGGTATGTTTGTATAAACCACGGAAAACGTTGATTTGCCTATATCGTGTGTTCTGTGAATACGTATTGTTTCTTTTATCTTTCTGTAGATGCAGACTATTCACATTTTCATCCATTGATACGCTTACCGTAGTAGTCACGTGACTGACGGATTAGAATCCTGTGTACTTTCTTCCCAAACATTTTTATTGATTTATTTGTTGGTTCGATAATGTGAACTGTTATATCTGCATGTTCACGTGGTTTAGCAGGTCAATGTACGCCTGTGCACGTTCTCGTTTAATTCGATCACATGTATGCTGGTAACCGTTTGTAGATGCGTCACCTTTCGCCTCGCCACTGATCAGTGCATTCGTTTTAATAAGCCTTGTTTAGTTTTGAGGGATGTTAATTAATTTTCGCCTTGGGTTTTATCATAACTTCCGCTATATTGTCGGAAATCCAGGATTTCATGATAACACAACTATTAACTGGTTCCAATTTACTTTTTTGGCTTCGTATGGAGAATCCATCGTAGTACATCTCGATTGATGATCATATTTCGGACGTTTTCATCTTCTGTCTTACATATCCGAAAATGCTTTTTCGATGATTCTGGCCTTCTAGCTTGTGCTCCGTTCCGGTATACTCGAGGATTAATGACCACTAAATACGATATACATGACGGATTGAGACAGGTTTTTACTAGCCATAAAACTTGAACAAAACCACAAATGGAATTTATTTCCTGTCGTACCTTTGTTTCGATCAGTGCGATCCGATTGACATATGATGTAAAGGTGCTGTCATGGTTGTGCCCCAATGTCTTTCCTCAGTAGATTTGAGCACTCTTGACCTATGTTAAGTGGTTTGCTGTTGTGGTGGTGGTCAGGCGGTAAATTTGTCGCCCCCTATGCGACTTGGATCCTGAAGTCAGTATGATAATGGCAGCCTGCAGTGTAAGCCTCAGACAACTCTTTTGTTACTCCTTAAATTTTTACCTTACCTCAAGCCACCGAATACACCATCTACACTACCGACCAACGATCGCCGTGTTCCTTAATATGAAACGAACGTTTAACTCATTTGACAATTAGGCTCTTCGGTTCCATTTTTCCCAAAGGAATGCCCCGAGTTCGTTAAGTACTAAGTTTACTTTGCTCCTGGTAGTTTAAGGGTTTATAAGAAGCTCGATCATCACTAACAGCCATATTCGTTAAGGGTATCGTTTTTCGCCATTCCTGTCCAATTTCTTCATGGACGCTCCGTTTGGTACCCGCTTTGCACTTTCGCAGTGTAAAATGCTACTACAAGACTGGGTTGGTCCAGCACCCAGCCCCACTCTAACTGGGGAAGTAATAGAGCAAGTGGATAAGTTTTGTTATCTGGGCAGCTATATCTCACCCGGTGGACGCATCACGGGTGAAGTGTCAGCTCGCATACGGAAGGCTGGGTTGGCATTTGCCAACTTGAGACTTCTGTGGCGCCGTCTCGATATCTGACTGTCTGTTAAGGGTCGAGTGTATGNCCAGTTCTGCTATATGGTGCAGAAACTTGGCCATTGAGGAAACAGGATAAAGATGGACTGTCGGTGTTTGAACATCACTGTCTACGCAGCATTGCACGAATCTGGTGGGGCAGCCGGACGAGCAATGCTGAGGTCAGGCGCAAAGTTTTAGGCAACCGCGGTCGCCCACTGGAGCAAGTGGTCGACCTCCATAGATTACGTTGGTTGGGCCATGTGTTACGCATGTGACCAGATAGGTTGCCACGGCGAGCGATGTTCGCTGAGGTAGGTAGTGAGTGGAAGAAAGTTAGGGGTGACCAAGCTTAGACCTGGCAGGAGGATATGAAAACCCTGACCAGGTGTCTGGGTCACATAGGTCCCGTTAGGCTCCTTGGCTGGGGACCTCGGGATGATCGTACCCGATGGTTAGAGACACTGAATGATATAACTGGCTGTCGTAAACACCAAAAGTGTCGCACTGAAATGCATGCCTAATGGTTGTTTAAACTGAAAAACTGAAAGTGAAACTTGCACTTACAGAATGCAGATAGAGGTAAAAGCATATATTTATAGTTCGATTAGCGTACGCTAGACTGAAGCAACTTTGGCGTCGAAGTGACATGTCACTTAACTTTAAAGCTCTCGGTTGTTGTGCCAGAGTGCGACCAGTTCTACTTTACACTATTGAGATATTGAATTTTCTAGTGGAATACATCCATCTACTAGAGGTTTTCGACCATCGATGTTCCTGTTGTTTGGCACAGGTGAGACGGAGTGAGCAAGTAAGTCACCTCGAGGAATGCATCGGTAAAATGATGGTTATCAGATCGAATCCAGATTAGTAACTCGCTAGTTGGGGCATGTAATACCCATGTCTAAAAACTGTCTACCACACCGGGCCTTATTCGCAGTTGCCGCTCTCAGCTGCGCAAGAGATGGTGTTCAGGCGAAATACGTTAGTTGTTGTTCATCCTGGCCTGTCTGAATCCCATGATGGGGATTTCAGTCTAGATTTTTCTGCAGTGGATCCGCTTTTATTCACATTTTTTGTTCATAACGATTTTGCCCCCCTGCAAGAGGATGTGAAGGTTTTTCGCTTGGCAACTTATCTTGTCCAAAACGTCACAAATTTCCGTAAAAGCATTGTGATATTCGCGATCCTTGCCTGGCGCCAAATAAGCCCATAGTTATCATCCTGTTGGTCTACGTAGCTAGCACTTTAATGTGCCCGGGCTAGAGTCACAGTCTTAATGAAAGAGGAGAAATGGCCTATCCTAGTGGGGCCTTATATGGTTAGCCACTCCACGTCCCGGGGATTGGGTTGCCGGTTTCCGTCATAGGCTTACAGGTCTTCGCGACTATGGGGTTCACCCCGCCTGCTGTTCACCGCACCTAAGAGACCTCAGTGCTTTATTCCCGAGATTCTTCATGGTTCATCCGATTCATTTTGAACGTTGAAGATGGAACATTTTTATCGACATCTCTATATTTCGTCTTTGGCTCGGTCGTTGAACTAATTCAACAGCCAAGTCGAGTTATCCGAAAACTTGAACAACTTATCTTCATGTCGGAGAAAGTTATCTGTATGTTAACCATTGTCTTCTCACGAATGACCGATCAAATTGACTTCGAGTTCTCAGCTTGAGTTTTCTACATCTGACAGTTGCAGATCAGTAGATGTAGTTGCTGCCTACAAACCATTTGCTAGATCCGTTTTTTGATTCTGCTGCATAGTTCTAGTCAGATGATGGTGATGGTGGTGGTCAGGTTCCTTAAGTCGCTGAAACCTGTGAGCCTTGAGCCCTAGGGTGTGAGGTCCAAACCCTACCACTGCCAGTCATCTTTGGTGGTAGGCTCAACATGACACCTATGCTAATGAGACCCTATGTGGCTCGCCACAATAAGTTCTGGGGATTAGGTTACCGGTTCATGACTAAACAGTAGCTCTCCTTGATTATGTGGTTTACTGCTTCTACTGTTCATCACATAGTATGAAATGATAAATGGGTAATATTCCTCTGAGCGGTCACCAACTGCGTTGGAGTTAGCAGTTAATCTTATTCATTTCATGGGATAGTCTTGCACAGTTGTCGATAAAGGTGTCCAAATTCTTGTATGTATGTTTTGTTGTTTAGCGCCACCACTCAATTTTTCCATTCATATTCAAAATATTATCGTCTCTTGTTTGGTCACTTATCTCGCCGCCATCAATTGGATTCGTGGATCAGCAATTGGAATTCAAATTGTCCGCTCTCTATCGGTCCTACGGCGCTCCTCCACTTTCTGCCCCGGCCAATGCCATTCTCCCTCCTCCTCTTATATCCGGCTCACCATTTCACATGCCGGGCACCCCAGGGAAACTCACCAACGGTGATGGGACTGCAAAGAACAATTACAACCGATTCAAAAATGGCCAAACATGGAGTAACTCAAACATTGTCCTGTAAGCTCTCTTTTCTGGATCACTTCTAGCACTTCTCCGCTAACCTTGTGCTTTGAGTGTTTACGAATTGCACTTAGTCATTTCGGTTTGAGGGAGTTCGTTATCAGTTTGGTACTGTGTATCCTATTTACTCTACTGACGTTCGCTTGGGCACATGTTTCATAGTCTCTTTCCGACTTCATTGCTTCAACTGGCATATGATCGCTAAAGCATACAGCTAAGTTCACTTTTCTCACTTGTCCTTGAGGATCATTAGCTCCTACCTGAGAATCTCAGGGATGTATCCAAGTTGAATGTTCGCGCTATGATACAATCGAACATGCAGCATCATCCTGAGTATCAGTTCGTGTAATCGATAACCAAACACAAATATGCCATGATTAGTCGCGGAACTGTTGCGAATCCATTCGGAAGATCCAGTCGAAAGTTGTGAAGTTTTCAAGCTAAATCAAGGAATCCCTTTGTGCATCGCAAAGGGTGAATATTCAGCAACCACATAACTACTGTGTGTCAGACAATAGGAAATATTCTGCAGATTTCTACATATAAATGTATAACAACAATGGAAAATCCGTGAAATGTCGTGGCCTTGATCAGTTTGGATTAGCATCTTAAGCAGATTGCCTGCAAAGAGGTCATAATTTGTGAGAAATCTAACTAGATACGGAACAGCAGAACGCCTGTAAACCTCAGTGCTTGACTTCGTACATTTATAACCAGAACGATTTGATGAACAGGCACTGACGAAGGTCAGGATACAGGATAGGAGGTCGGTCAGTTAAGATCGGGAGAATATTTAGCAGGTCTTGAAGTGATGTTCTGAAACATACTGTGCCAAGTGTTCCCGAGGGATATGATTACGTACGGATGGCAACTTCAGGGATCGAGAAATTCGTTTACGGTCCTTGGTAAATAGACCGGGAAGATAACACGGGGTCCATAAAGCCAGTGGAAGCAAAAACAAAATACCTTATGGAAGAAGTAGAGATAGAAAGTGACCTAAGACGCAAAACATAATGTGAGCCTTTTGACCCTCAAACATGACGTGGTGGCGTTGTGTGCTGTTGTCCTACTGAGTTACCCAGTCCAGAGTTGACCTTGTTCAAGGATGTCCTCTAGGCTTTGCACAACCAAGCACGGACTGCATAGCAGGAGTGATGTTCTAAATAAGCCGGTGGCCAGTATTGGGTTCGTTTGCCTCTTCTGGGAGAACTTTCTAAACAATAGATTTCGACATGAGGCGATGTCCATATTTAGTGGCGTGCCACATTCCGCACGCCACAAATATGTGGCGTTTTGTGTGGAGTACTCTTGCCAGGAGGTGAACCCGCAACATCCTCGAACACTGCCGCTGATGGTCCGCGATCGCTTATTCGGAGGGGTGAAGCCCAACCTATTCACGGTTAGCCGTGAGTTGACGGCCGTTCCCCTATCCGCGATCTGAGGACGCGCTCGGTAGCATACATCTCTGCTCTCCCGAGCTTTCCTTCTGTTGATGTTACACTTCTTGGCATCATTTTTCTTATCCGTTTCGCATTATCTCTTTTTACATGCCTGATGCTTTTCTTTGTTTTTCCAACTTTTTCTCACGGGAGTACTTTGTTCTCATACGGTTGTTTTTCATGACACTTTGAAGTATGCTCAAGCCATTCCGACAATAGCATTTCCAACATTAAAAGTGACAAGGACATATAAAAGGGTTACACTGCTGTTCTCTTCATTGATGTACGGATGTATATTTACAAATCTATTTTCCATGCCCAACCTTTTCACAATCGAAATCACGAAAGAATATGGTGATTTGCGAGATCGAAGTATGTGCCACGAAAAACAGAATTAGTGCTTATGTTGTAATCCATCGTAGAGAATCAAGGTGATGTATGGTAGTCGAGGTTATTCATCCAGAATTAAGAGTTCACGATGTAGTAATTTTTCATGGATTCAAATTTCCGTCTCTAGTTGCTCTCCTGACCTGTAGATGATATCGTTCATTGCTAAATAGATTTCTCACGTGGTTCGACCGTAACCACAATCCGTGCATGTGTTTGTTCAAAACTGTCCCACCATTTTCCCCAGCTCGTTTTCCGCGCTACAACTGCTTGTTCGTTGTTCGCTCACCAGCTCAGTTCACACGACTGCTAGTGTGGATCTCCAATTCAGTTCAAGTACCAACTTTTAAACAGCCCAGTCCCAGTGTGTTTACTAAACGCTATTGATTTATGTGACCGAAACGGATCAATTGTTCGGACTTGTACTCCAGACGCTTGGAAACATGATCACTTTACTTTGTACTTGTTACTGCCTCCGTGTGGTGTGAGCAGCCGGGGTCGATAATGTGCTACATGATTATGGTTAATGCTCGTACGGGGGCTGGGACAGCTCGGTATACAATTGAGTACGGGGCTGATTGCCTGTGACAGCGCAGATCATTGTGGTTCAGCTCATGTTTCACATGCCTGTGAATTGTGCACACCGGTACAGGTTCTATTCAACCCTGGATACTGGTTTAAGCTTTATCTGCTCACAACATATGTATCTGTTTTTGAATTGTGTGTTTGTGGGATAGGCTTCACTTTTGGGTAGTCTTTATCTCCTGTATTCCTTCATAAGTTATGAGGATCGGGAGTTCAGAAATTGTGTCGCTTACAACTTTGTTACTCGAGGTGTTCACAAACGAGTTTTTCAATCAACCATCAAACTATTCAATTCTATTCTACGGTTTTTTATTCGCATCACATTGAGTACCTCAAAGTGGATGAACTCCCCAACCTGAGAATAGCATGTACATAGGATGTTGAAGGAAAAAGTACAAGTGAGAACTACTTTTTTGATTGTGCGTTGGATAGCAGCTATCCTGTAAGTTTGGGGGCGCTCGTGCAGTATGGAGATGGTGTTCTACAGTTTTACAGTGCTCTGGAAAAGTGATTATGAGTTAGAAGTGCAATACCGTGGGTGACTAGCCGCTGAGGTACCGAATCTACGAGGAAGAACAAGTGAAATCTGGACGGGAGAGGCGAGTTCGGTTAAGTAAAAACCCAAATCGAATTAGGACAACAAAGTGAGGAGTTGACGGTGAACTACAGGTTGCAAATTATTTGTTAAGGACCGGTCATTGATGTGGCTAATTACGTTACGTTGCACCTAATAGCGACAAGACAGAGGCGGACGAAGCTCCACCTCACACCTGACTGCAGTATTCAATTGTATGACAAACCTGGACTTTGCAAGCTGGGAGGTGAGGGAAAGTGAGGAAGCGGAAGAGAAAGACGATCTTACGCGCGGCGCTAGAGATAAGCAGATAATTGTAGGGTGACCATGAAAGTGGTGGAAATATATTCATGGATCTGTTAAATATAGAAAGTTTGATTCGAAATTTATTAGGTAGATTCACTTTAGTTTCCCGTAGTCGATCATCGCTCAACCAACGGACATCATAATTTTATCCGTTATTGTCGACATTCGCTTAACATTAAAGTAAAGTAAAGTAAAGTCGGAAGCACATTTCCGTTCCATGTTTCACACACTAGCAGCTCTTCAGGTATTATATGAAAGATAGGCGGCGATGGCGGGATTCGAACTCATAACTCGCAACTCACTATGATACTGATTATATTCGCTGAGGTACCTCTTTTCCACTAGTTGGGAGTTAACTCACATGACTTCCTAAAACTTTTTGTCTTCCATTATGATTACCACAGTTTATTCATTTTTGTATTTGCTTGTTGTTAATTGCTTTTCCAATCACCCCCCTCCCGCCCAGTGATCCGGTTCCGGTCAAAACAGAAACGCGAGAGAGTCCAGTAAGGGTCGCTCAGTAAAAAGATGGTGATGGACGTGCACAGAAATACACACACTGGTTCTCTCATGGATACACGTGGAGGAAATGCCTTCGTCTATCTCCTAAACAGGTTATTTTTACCATGCCATACGTTCACACATGGTCCTATTCTTCTGGGTTCGCAGCGTGGTCCCTCCGATCGTCTCGATTTCATCATAATTGCCCTCCACTTGTGATAAACCGTCCGCTTCACTGCATCTCTCCTTTTTTCAAGGACCGAACACAATGCAACGAAGCAGACCGTGTATTGACCAATGCATTTTTCATCGCGTATTCTGTGGATAGCCCTTTTCCCCGACTATTTTCACACATGAACACATCAGCGAGCACATTGTATATGTTAGTCCTCATGCTGAATTTTCTTGTGCCCACAGATTGTATGCTTCTCTGCCTCATTCTTTTCCAACTCATACCACAGCAGGTCTGCCCGTTGGGGTGGGTATATGTACATTAGGGGAGTGTTTCATTCGGATTCCTCATTGATTGTTTCCAAACATAAATTCCATTTTATTCATAACTTCCTAATCCTTTTCACAGTACTCATCATCACCATTATCACTATCGTCGTCAGAAGAACCACAGTACAGTAGTAAAGTACCAGCATTTTGTCATCAATGCACCTTCCTTCGTCTGCATGTCTGTATATGCGGAACGGTTCAGTCCAGTCCGGTCACACTTTTGTCTTGCTCTCAACCTATTTTGCCCGTTTACTCTTTGGTTTTCAACCATTCTCCGTTCTACCTTTCTATTCATCTCGTTTCTTTCATTGTCTTGCTTTCATACACCAAAAGCAAATTCGTATTTTTTCATCCGATACTTTCCGCGCATTCCAATGTTTCTTTCTAACCTTTCTCGGTTCGGTTCAATTCGATTCGATAGTTTCTGGCCTTTTTACCTTTCGTCCTATCTCATTAGCTCTTTTGTTATCCTGACGGATTGGCAGTGCCCCCCCCCCTCTTTTGGCACTCCACCATTCATAGCCAATCTGCGCTTGTTACTGACTCTTATTTCCTATTTATTCCATCTTCTCTTATAAGTGATACTTAAAATCCTCTGAACATTTGCAACCTCATCTTCATATCCACTAACCAAACAAACCGGCATTCGAGAACGGTTACAAAGTGGAACGTGCTTGGTTTTTGACATCCCAATGATCTTTCCCATTCCCATTTGAATTCATCTAATTTAAGGTAAACAATCATTAACTAACTCCAAGCGACCGTTCTTGTTCAGTATCCAGTTGGTACCAACGGACGAATGAACTTTCTGTTGCCCGGAGCAGCACTCGTTTCCGATCCACAGTATCTAACCAGACTAATCCTAAAGGGACCTCAGAAGAGGAGAAACTGAAATAGGAAACCAACTGATGGTGAATCGGATGCCGGAAAACGAATTCGTGAACTCGAGTTAAATATAACGGGAGGTAAATAGGAAGTTTAGATAGGGAAGAACGGAATCACAATACTTCTCCGAGGAGAAGCATGAATTTGCAAAACGAAGGACAGAAAAGAATTGTAAACGAGTAAAGGAAAGGTGATATTAATGCGGAATAAGCGTTGGTGATAACATGGGTCTAGGAGCTCCAAATGGAAATGTATCTAAGGTTGAAATCTAGAGAGATTATGAAGGCACAACAGTCTTGACCATTAACAGAGCTTCAGGATGCGTGATTGTTCAGAACACCAGCACTCATAGGGATGGCCGTTTATTTTTCATGAACTTGGACGCAGTACCGGTACCGAAGCAAAGCCGGAATTGATCGTTTTCACTTTTCGTCTATTGCATCAAACAGCCATAAATTCTCCGGATGTTTACCGAAACTCGCCATATGCGATTCTTGATTAAAACCTTACTTTCGACCGGCTAACTCCTGCGGGAGGATAAATGGGCTTCTTGGATGTCTCAAATGATGGAGGCCCATGCATGACAATCGGTAGCAAGGCTGGCGCAGTGTGAAACTCACTTCTGGTTCCATTTACGGATTGGGGGCCCAGTAATTCCAAATCCGCCTCGATCGTACTGCTCCAGGTATGCAGTTGACTACCGAGTCGACAATGCCATCTAGGGCACGGTGCGGGGTCTACAGCCTGTCGCGAGAGTTGAGTGTCGGTCCTTCGGAGCACATGGCCAAACCACTGGAGGCGCCGGCGTTGTAGCATTTTTGAAAACTTGCCAGTGTTCAAGCAGAGCCGTCGAACCTCATCATTGCTAATCCGATCTCTCCAATTTACTTTCAAGATGCGGTGTAGGCACCAATGATCAAAGACTTCGCTCTTCCTTGTATCTTGTACTCTTAGCGGCCAGGTTTCACAACCATAAGTGAGGACGGGGCGGATAGAAGCGTGATAAAACAGGAGCTTAGTGTTTAAGCTTAATTCGCATAGATTCCACAAAGGTTTAAGGAGTGGTAGGAAGGCTCTTCTAGCTCTATCTACACGGAGTTGAATTTCATCCTTAGCCTGGCCGTTTGGTCTTTTCGTGGAGCCAAGACACCTGAAAACTTCGGTTGATTCGACAAGTTCCCCGTTAATCGAGAGGGATTGTCATGACAGAAATTTCGTCCGAAAATGTTTTCTTTTTCGACTTGTTGATCTCTAGCCCATTGG